TGGTATGGGCTGGTATTATTAAAGATGAGCTAGCTGGACCTTTTCGGGTTAAAGATGGACTTAAAATCAACTCCCAAACCTACTGCCAGTTTTTAGAATACACTTTTTTCAAACAGTGGTACAGGCAAAAGTCTGCATCTTTCAAGAAAACCATGATTTTTATGCAGGACAATGCTCCATCGCATGCAACAAAGTACTCCACAATGTGGCTCGCTAGTAAAGGCCTTAAAAACGAAAAAATAATGACGTGGCCTCCTTTCTCACCTGACCTAAACCCTATTAAGAAACTGAAAGACTCCATGAATGAAAGGCTTATGACTGTTATTGAAAAGAAGGGTAATTACATTGGTCACTAATTTTTTTTTTTGAAATTTCAACAATTTTTATTTGTAAATTGAGTTGTTTGTTTATCATTCTCACTTTAACAAGTGAAAATAAAAAAGTGAGATGGGAAAAGTTTCATTTTTAATTTAGTTGCATAATAATTCTGCACACTAATAGTTGCCAGGCAATTGTGCACACATAGATATTCTCCTAAGGAAGCCAAAATCTCACTTTTACTCCCTTAAATATTCAGGTTTGAGGTTTATTAACATTTTGGATTGACCGAGAGCACTGCAGTTGTTCAAAAATAAAATTTATCCTCAAAAATACAACCTGCCTAATAATTGTGCACACAGTGTAAGTGGTGGAGAAAGTTTACAGGAGAGTCCCGAGTGATCAGTGTGCGATGCAGCTTCCTGCCTTCGTCTGTGGGGCGCTGCACCTAAAAACGCACAGAATACGAACACTTTACGCCCGGCTTTTTTCAAAGCTGGGAAATGTAGTCTTTGGAAAGATTGATGCCAATCGATTCAGTAGCTTCTCCCCTTTCAAATGACTACAGACATGGTTGACTTGTCTTTTTGGATAAAATGTTTCCAATGGTCCTAAGGTACTTCCATACCAAGGAAAAAGTAAATCTCAGTTTAGGGGAAGGGGTGGGGGGGTAAGTTACCCTGTTAAAACATACATTTTATAATGAAATTAGCATATTTTACCCCCCGCTGTCATGGTAATTAATGAAGCATTGTTTTTTTTTACATTGAAACCTATTTAATTGAATTCCTAGACCCCAAAAATGCGCACTTTGACACCAATATTATGATTATAGCTCCAACAGAAGCAAAGATATGGGGTCTGGTGTATTGGCGGTTTATTGTCGGCGGCCATTTTTAAAATAGCTATTAAAAAAAATTGAAGGGTGATCTAACTTGTCTCCTTGGATAAAATGTTTCCTATGACCCTAAGGTACTTCCATGCCAAAGGAACAGTAAATCTCAGTTTAGGGGAAGGGGTGGGGGGGTAAGTTACCCTGTCAAAATGTACATTTTATAATGAAATTTGCATATTTTACCCCCCGTTGTCATGGTAATTAATGAAGCATTGGGTTTTTTACATTGAAACCTATTTAATTGAATTCCTAGACCCCAAAAATGTGCACTTTGACACCAATATTATGATTATAGCTCTAACAGAAGCAAAGATATGGGGTCTGGTGTATTGGCAGTTTATTGTTGGTGGCCATTTTTAAAATGGCGATAAAAAAAAAATGAAGGGTGATCTTACTTGTCTCTTTGGATAAAATGTTTTCTATGACCCTAAGGTACTTCCATACCAAAGGGGACATTTGTAGCATGACTTGAAGTAAAATGTGTCTTAGGGCCCCAACTATAATGACATATTGCAGGTTTGCTGGCAAGAGTAAAGCAAAATACACTATATGTTAAAACATAGCTCCAAGGTTGAATGTGCATGTTATTGTGTGAATACTGTGTTTTCAAAAATGTTTATCAAAACTGTCTTAAAGAGATGTTGCAGAAAAAGTTAATTTTTTTCCAGTAGAAGTGAGGAGTATTATGTAAAAAACAAAAAGGTTTAATCAATGAACAACACAAAATACAGCACTAATGACTGTATAAATTCAGACACTACAGATTTCCCAACAACACACCAAAACAGGGAAAAAGAGGAGTGTTCTGAAACCTGCACTTATTCCGCTAACTGACCCTGAGATACAGGTTTGGCAAACATCATAGCTGTGTTCAATTTATGATAGGTTGTTTACACTTCTTTTAAAGATGGGAAGAAGTACTTAACACTTTGTGAATTTGAAGACCAAAAAAGAGGAAGAAATCAATAATGATACAATAAAAGTAAGTGAGTATGAGCATCAAGATTGAGATGGAGTTTAAATACAGATAGAAATGTTTACTAACCCTTAAAGTGCCCTTTTATTAACTTCGAAAGGATATTTTTTTCAGAGTAAATATTTATTGCCATTCATGATGCCAAATTTACTTTTACTGTAGTGTGTGTGTATATATATATATATATATATATATATATATATATATATATATGTATGTATGTATTGGATAACTAACAGCCTTTGAGTCACTGCTTTGCCATATCCAATAACTCGTGCTCTGTTTGGGGAAAACCACAAGAATCACTGCTCTGCCAAGCAATAGTTCAAAGAAAAAGCTGGCAAGCTTAACTAAAAACTCTTCAAAGGCAATCAGTGCTATATGTATATATATATATATATATATATATATATATATATATATATATATATATATATACATATATATATGTATGTATTGGATAACTAACAGCCTTTGAGTCACTGCTTTGCCATATCCAATAACTGGTGCTCTGTTTGGGGAAAACCACAAGAATCACTGCTCTGCCAAGCAATAGTTCAAACAAAAAGCTGGCAAGCTTAACTAAAAACTCTTCAAAGGCAATCAGTGCTAACTCAAAGTGAACACTGTCAGTTTATAACTACAGAATTAGTACAATACATAACTCCTCTGTGTAACCACTGCCTGTCTTTTTCAAAGATTGATTTTTGGGCTTTTCAGGCCTTTATTTAGAGGGCAAGACAGTGGACAGCAGTGAAAGCTGTGAGGGAAGAGTGGGGAGTGGAACATTGTAAAGAACTGTGAAAGAAATCTCATTGTGCATAAGTGCAATGACAATAAAGCATCTTGTTTCTTGTATCTTGTTGTATCTTATGTCCCCCCTTATATTGCGATTCACACCAAAGCTTTTGGTGTTACGTGTCTTTTATTAACGTTTATTTGTGTTTAAACTGGTATGTTCACTGTTCATAATGTTCCTAAAACAAGAAATGCCCTGACCCGGATTCGAACCCAGGACCTTCTAGCTGTGAGGTGACAGTGCTAACACTACACCACTGTGCCGCCCATTGCTTATCTTTCAGCATTGAAAATTCCAACGACACCCTTATTTTTGTGTGTTCTGGATCACAGTATCCGGAATTTTGTCCGGATCAGGATCAACCTTTGACACCTCATAAAACTCATCAAGATCATTTTGTGTAATTTTTTACTGAAGACTCTGGCCATTTTTATAGAGTTAAATGCAAAAATTTGAAAATTTGCCCTATCTCACAATGATAAAGAATCCTTCAAAAAATTCCTGGATCCAGAAGGCGATCTGGATCACCACCAAAATTTAATGGGATCCTCCTGGGGCTGAGACGCACCTCTGGTGAAAATTTCAGGTCAATCCATCTGTTACTTTCTCCGTAAAGTTGCTAACAGACAAACTAGAAAAGCAATCGGAGAGCGCAGACGTCCGCCAAGCAGCTCATGTCCCCCCTTAAACGAGAAATGCCCTGACCGGGACTGGAACCCAGGACCTTTTGGCTGTGAGGCGACAGTGCTAACCACTACACCACTGTGCCGCCTATCTACACCACTGTGCCGCCCATTGGTTATCTTTTAGCAGTGAAAATTCCAACGACACCCTTATTTTTGTGTGTTCTGGATCACAATATCCAGAATTTTGTCCGGATCACCACCGAAATTTAATGGGTTCCTCCTGGGGTTGAGACGCACCTTTGGTGAAAATTTCATGTCAATCCGTCAGTTACTTTCTCCGTAAAGTTGCTAACAGACAAACAAACTAACAAACCACCAAAGCAATCGGAGAGCGCAGACCTCTGCCAAGCAGCTTATGTCCCCCCTTAAACGTAAAATGCCCTGACCGGGACTGGAACCCAGGACCTTTTGGCTGTGAGGCGACAGTGCTAACCACTACACCACTGTGCTGCCTATCTACACCACTGTGCCGCCCATTGGTTATCTTTCAGCAATGAAATTTCATGTCAATCCGTCTGTTACTTTCTTTATAAAGTTGCTAACAGACAAACAAACCAACGCTACCGAAAACATAACCTCCTTGGCGGAGGTAAACAACTGTTGCTGTTATTTTTTCTCAGGGAAACAGTTTTAAGGCAACTTTCCACTCAGCTTTGCTTGACAGAAGATTCCGCATTTAAAGTTGAGTCAATCATTTATGTAACTCATAATTTGAGAGAATTAAATCACAGGAGGTTTGCTTAATATAAAAAAGCATTGTAAACCCAAAACAGTGTCTTCAATATGTTAGAGTAATGTTGAATCATGAGGTGTATTACTATACTAACAATATTTGATATATCTTGAAACAAAGCAGAGAAATCAAATCAAACGAGGAAGCGAAAAACTGGCTACACAATTTGGGCTCTATTTTTGTGCCTTGCTGGAGACGCGCCACAGGCACGGCGTAAGTCAGGTCCGTCGCGCCGACAAGGCGTTCCCAAGCACAATTTGGTATTTTGGTGAGCGGCGCAGCCCGGCGTAAGTATCCCCCCTCCCTAACTCAGCTCCTCCCAGCGGCGTAAGTCGTAGCGAGGGAGGAGAGAGGGCGTGGAGTGGGTTTAACACAGCTGAGACCTGTTTTCACCAGTCACATCAGCTCCTCTCCTCGCCTTTAAATCCGCCACCGGCGAGGGGTATTACTATTTTCGTGAAGTAGTCAAAGAGATCGAGAGATGTCTGAAGACAGTAATGCCACACGATGGCGACAGAAGGCAGCTCCTCAACAAGTGTCACTGTAAGCGCTGCATTGGGCGTCCTCCACACTCTCTCATATGTGTGGTGTGGCTGGTGAGTTGTGAGGACCCAGAAGCAGACACAGAGACAGAGATCAACTTAAGGCGTAATTTAATGTCCAAACAATGCAAAAAGAGGAAGTCCGGTAGGCTGGCTGGCTGGCTGTCGTGTGGGCTGGAGACACTGCAGGAAAAACCAGAGGAGAGGTAGGTAAGTGAACATGCACAGAATCACGAGGAGCAAAGTTACAGATACTCTTACAAAGAGGAAGGCCAAGAGACACGTCTGTACCACTAGGAAGGGTAGACAATACTCAGGCGCTGAGACTGAGGGCTGCAGTCTTCTTAAAGTGCCTTGATTGGAGATGTGGAGCAGGTGTGTCGTCTCACTCAGCCTCAGCGCCGGGGGAGGGGAGGAAGCTCTGGAAAAGAGTAAAGCCAGACCAGGCAAACAGGGAAACACAGGAAGTCCAGCCAAAATAAAATAGGATGAGGAGGCGTCTCACCACAATATGAGCACAGATGGATTTGGTGTGTGTAATGTTGGAACCACTGGTAAGACAAACACCCTTTTCCACAAATAAAGACACTCACATAAAGTTGCATATATTCAAACCTCACGTGACAAAGGTCGGTTGAGCGCACAGATCACAACATAAACTCCATAAATGGCATTAAAATCGGAACCACCTGTGTGAAATGACGCATAGCGCTCAGTGGCCTGGCTCTTTCTTTCATAGATGTTGACATATAAAATAAATTTGGCTCACAAAACTGAATATTATAATATCCGTATGTCGGCTTAAATTAGATAACTCATCTGAGCACTGAAACAAATCATCTGTTCAGCTGCCGCTGCAGCAGGACGGAGAGAGGACACGGAGACATGTCCAGGTTGAGCTGCGCGAGAAATAAGAGAAGAGGAAGAAGAAAGGGAGGGAGACGAATTAAATATGGCGATACGCCGCCGGTCTACCAAAATACTACTAGACCAGCTGCGCTCCGTCTGTGCTGAAAGCTGACCAGGTTTGAATCGGCAAGCTTTCAGCGCACTTTACACGCCACTGGCGAGCACGAAAATGTCACTGCGCCCCCTGGTTCTGTCGACACCTCCCCCTACCACGCCACCACGCCCAGCTTGGCGGTTCTCGGTTCGCCTCCGTGCACCTCAGTCCACGAAAATACCAAACTGGCTGTACGCCGGGCTCCGCCAGACGAAAATACAACTGCGCAGGGTTCGCCACCCTCTGCTGCCTCACCGGCGTACACGAAAATAGAGCCCATTAAGTCAACATTTGAATCTTATATCCATATTTACAATGAAGCAGGTTATGACCTGCCTGCACATGCGTTTAGCTAACACATAGCTGCTTCGAATGTTGTTAAGCACACACTATCAATCATTTAACCAATCAATCAATGACATTTTATTTATATAGCGCCAATTAACAATAGTCATTATCCCATGACGCTTTCCAAAGAAAAAGAGCAAGTCTAGAACACGCTAATTGTTTGTTGAATTATCAAGACCCAACCTTAAGATGGGACAGATTTTGACCCATCTCATCAAACATGAGTGACAGTGGCAAGGAAAAACTTCCTTTCAACAAGCAGAAACCTTGGGAAGGACCAGACTCATGTTAGACAGCCACCAAGCCGCTGCTGGGTTCGGGAGAAATACAAAAAGATTTGTGGAGTTGTGCGGAGTTGTGGTTGCAGAGCAAGTAATGATGAAACAATATGAATTCAGTTTACAGGATTAGAATATAAGTAATTATGGACTATTTTCAATTAGTTTAGTATCACTTTCGTAAGTGCTCCATTCTCTCATGCACTCCCTGATCTGGCTTTTGATCCATATTTGTGGCAGGTGTCACTCAGTATTCCTTAATGCCTTCCAGGGATTCTCTTTCTTTTTTTCCGTGCTTTATTTTTTGAGTACTTCAAAGATCTCAGTTTCCACTGAAGACAACAGTCAACAGGGAGATTGTTTTTAGATGAAATAGGGCAGTATTCTCATGTAAGAACACTAAAAGAAGAGCAATGCAGTCATACTCTGTAATAATTGAATGATGAATGATATATACAAAGCACTTCTTATTGAAAACATCTTCAATTATTGATTCTGTATAAAAGTTAGAAAAGAGAAAAAAAATCTCATTCATGTTAAAAAGATCACAAGCCCCCCTGCATAAGCTTGCAGTGAAAAAGACAAGAACCCCTGTACCGTTCCACAACTCAAAAGGCCAAATAAACACAGACTGTTTCTGTCCTTCCACTTGTTTAAGTTTTATCTTCCTTGAAATGAAATAGTGACCTTCAGAGGCTCGGAGTCATCAGCATGTGATTTTCTGTGCAGCAGTAGGGGTGCATTTATGTACACAATTTGATTCCTCAAACAAGAACAGTCCTCTTTCTCAAGGTTCCTTTGGCTAGTGTGTGTACAGCTGGGGATTCTTTTTAGCCAGACATTCTTTCAAACATGAAATGATTCGACAAACATTTGAAGAAATAATTGAAATATCAACACATTTGTTTTGCCTTTACTCTGGGATGTAACCCAGTAGCACAGTGATAAACAAGGACAGACTTTTTTTTTTTTTTTTACATCTCTTTACTTTATTCCCTGAAAAGAGCTCTCAGTCAAGTAACAGGGTAAAATAACAGAGAAGCCTAAAAGCTAATTATTCAAAAGAATAGTAAGGTTTAGAGTGGTCAGGTATGAGGAATTGACTGAGTCACGAATAGTGGTAAGCAAATTTGGAATTTCCCAGTTTGGAACAGCCAGTGTAGGTACCAGGGGCCTCATGTATCAATACTTGCGTGGAACTCATACCAGAAACGAGCGCACGCAAGGTCCGTCACGCTGAAAAAAATCTGTATGTATCAATGTGTGCGGGCGCCGAAATCCACGTGTGTTTCCTTGATAAATCTCAATCAGCGTGGAATTGAGCGCAGATGTCGGAGTGACTGGGCCCGTCCCCGTTACGCCCTCCTATAAATATGCAGATTTATTTAAATAGGGTCTCCCTGTCCTCGCACGCAGACAAAATGACAAGAAAAACTAAATTTAGGTGTAGGTGCTGGTGGCGGAGGTGGAGGAGCGACAGCGTGTTTTGTTTGGCAGCCTGTCCAGTGGCGTCAGTGCAAAACAAAAACGCTTGGAGTGGGAGAAATTTTGCGAGAGGGTGAATGCGGTGGGTTCCGAGACACGCACCCCCGCGGAGATTAAAAAAAAGTGGTCGGACCTCAAGGTGGAGGTCAAGCGGCGTACAGCTGCCCTCCGGAGGAGTACCGGCCAGACAGGTGGGGGTCCGGGGGAGGAGACCCTCACACCGTTTGAGCAGCGGGTGATGGCGATTATTATTATAGGGTAAGTGGCGTGTCACACAAATGTCCACATGCTTTGTCATCCCACTGAGCAAAAGACGTATATTAGACGTCTAGTCTAAGTTTATACTTCATTTCAACGTCGGGATTCAGTCTATTTTTAGACGTGATTTATACTTCGCCCTTAACTTCATTTTTCGATAACTTTTTATGCAATAAACAACTGTAATGTGCATAACTGACCTCGAAATAGTGGATTACATTACCTATGATACCGTGGAGAGAGATGTAAACGCAACAGATACACAGAAGCAGGAATTGAAATAAAGAAATATTTTTATTGTGTCACAGAAATCAATGTGTCGGCCGTGTCGCCGGCTTGCGGAACCCTGGCCCGCGGCAGCCCGTCCGCCGGCTCGGAGTCGTCGGCCAGGACCAGCGGCATTCGGGCCACCCCGGCCCCCGGCCCCAGCACCAGCACCAGCATCAGCACCAGCACCAGCACCAGCGCGCCGGCAAGCGGTGGAGCGTCCACCAGCCGCGGCGCTTCCGCTGGACCACCCGGACGCAGTGGAAGGGTCCTCGCGGAGGGGGTCCTGCAATCGCAGGAAGAAATCATCAGGGGGATCGCGGGGATCAACGAGCGGCTGGACCGGCTCGTAAATTTCCTCGAGCGTCTGGTGGAGAAAATAAATTAATTTGGCCCATTGAACTGTGTATTCACTTCTTACCCATTCACACTGTGGCGATGAGATTCTCCCGCGCGAGGACGGCGGCCCGGCAGGGATCAGCTCGCATCCCTCCGTCTGCTGCTGGTTCGTCATGTGGGGCGACGTGCTGCCCGGCCACGGGGATGTGGTGCACGCTTGTCACATAGTGAGTCACCAAACACCGCCACACAGCGTCGCCAAATTGCGAATCACAGTCAACGCAAGTATCTGCTCAACGCCAATTTCTACACCACCTCCTGACTTTGCGTTGATTAGCGCTGGAACCGACGCTCGTTTCGCGATGATAAATCTGGACGTGTGCGCTGATTTTGGCGTACGCAAGGTTTTCTTGCGCCGCAAGCGTTGATACATGAGGCCCCTGGCCAAGAATGGCAGCACTCTTTCATTTCTTGATTGTGAATCTTCTCTGTCATTACACGTTATGCACAGTAATATGCCACATACACAACACTGTTATGATCTGGAAGATTGCTCCAGTTTTGTTTGTATTGTGCTCTTTTCCCCTCCCTGTTTTTTCTCCTTCAGTATTTGAGGAAGTAAGCGTGGCTGGCTGGTGAGCTATCCCTCTTGGAGCTGCAGCAGGGACACACCTGTGATTCATCACATCAACACACCTGCACTCAATCTCCCTGCAATCACTCAACTATAAAAGACCTTTCAAGACTCCTCCACTCTCAAAGATGATTCCCTCCAGTCGGTAGAGTCCTACATGCTGTTGATTCTCCCATTTGAACCATTCTAATGTGATGTCTTTTGCTGTTTTTTTTTTAAATTATTATTTTTATTTATTTATTTCTGAGAGCTTTTCCAGGCAACTTAGACGCTAATTTTGGCTTTTTGGTTTTGTCCCTCAGTGTGTTTCTGCTGCTTCATGGAAGTTTTCTGAGAGGACTTGAGCGGACAGCCTTCAGCCTTTTTTCATTTGTCAAGTTCCTGTGTTTTTCTTGTATTTTGCAAACTCCCATTTAAATCTAAGCTATATAACAATCTGTCAGACAAAGGCTTCAGGAATGAATGCCTTCTGTTAAGTGCTGTCAGTTGTAATGTTTCCTGCCAATGATCACATTTTTTGCTGATGTTGATCTTAGTAATCATAGCTAGTCATTGTTGACCATGATTTCTGCACTTGGCTTTTTAAAATCCTTATTTTCACTTTGGTTTGTGTCACCACCAGCTCTACCTCCTATAGTCTTACTCTTTAATGGATCAAGATTTATATCCTGATTTTGGTACCCTAGCTTGCCTCTCATTTCAGATCCTCAACCTCCTGTCCTTGTGTGTTTCTTGCCTGTTTGATTGTCTGTCATGCTCCAACTGTTTCTGGCTGCCCCTCACTTTATTGTTCAATAGTGCTCTTGTGACTCCTGTCTTTGGTGGTTCTGTGGTCAATACACCTTGCTAGTCTTCACTGCTATTTCAACAATCAGATCATGTGCTCATTTATCTCCATTATTATCTTCAGTTAATTTTCTATTATTACCTGCACACTAGAAGCCTGCATGCCTATTTGATGGTCTGCTGAGGTCAGAATCAGAATGCAGAATTCATTCAGAATGCCTTTTATTGTCATTATACACAGTACAATGAGATTAAAGCCACCCATGTCAGTGCAAGACATTGTAAAAAAAATAGATTAAAATATATGAAACAAGATTAATATGGAGTATATACAATGTAAACGTGTGGACCTGAGATTCTTTTGACAGGATAAATATGGTACGGATGTGCATGGGTGTAATATGTAACAGTATAAAATATAAAGTGCACAGTTCTGAGCAACTTACAGAAGTTCTATTAACAGAATAAATATGGTAAATATACAGAAATAACATAAATGTAAAGTGCAAAGGAATCTGTATTGTCCTTCAGTGATTTGGAATATTGCACATATTTAGGTATATAGAAATATGACACAAGAATAGTATGAGGTATGTACAGTGTAAACATATGGACCTGAGATTCTTTTAACAGAATCAATATGGTATGGATATGCATGGATGTAGTATGTAACAGTATAAAATATAAAATGCACAGTCCTGAGATTCCTGTTAACAGAGTAAATACAGTAAATATACAGAAATAGCATAATGCAATGTGCAGATAAGTGTATGTTGTCCATTCAGTGTTTGGAATATTGCACATGTTTTAGGTATTGCTAGGTATAAAGGGAAGTCAGTGCATGTTGGAGTTCAGCATGGTTACGGCTTTTGGAAAGAAGCTGTTTTTGAGTCTGTTTGTCCTGGCCCTGATGTTTCTGTAGCACCTGCCTGAGGGCAGCAGGTCAAACAGGGCAAAGCCAGGGTGGGAACTGTCTTTGGAGATTGCCTTGGCTCTGCTGAGGCAGTGGGAGGTGTAGATGTCTTCCAGGGAGGGGAGAGGGCGGCCGACGATCTTCTGGGCTGCCTTAACAACTCTCTGCAGCCTTTCCCTGTCAGCAGCGGTGCAGCTGCCATACCATACTGTGATGCAGTATGTCAACAGGCTCTCGATGGATGAACGGTAAAAGGTCAGCAGCAGGTCGGAGTTGAGGTTGTGCTTCCTGAGGACTCTCAGGAAGTGTAGCTGCTGCTGAGCCTTACTGATGATGGAGGTGATGTTCTCTGACCAGGAGATGTTATCAGAGATGAGGACGCCGAGATACCTTAAGGTGTGGACCATTTCCACAAGCTCACCGTTGATGTGAAGGGGGGCTGGATCAGTGCTGTGCTTCCTTAAGTCGATGATGAGCTCTCTGGTCTTCTTGGTGTTAAGAGCGAGGTTGTTCTCTGAGCACCATTCTGCCAGCTTCAGGACCTCCTCACTGTAAGCAGCCTCGTCACCCCTGGAGATGAGTCCGACCACTGTAGTATCATCAGCAAACTTGACGATAAGGTTGTCATTGTGGGCCGGTCTGCAGTCGTAGGTGTAGAGGCAGTAGAGGAGGGGGCTCAGCACGCAGCCCTGTGGGGAGCCGATGTTCAGCGTGCGGGTGGAGGAGAGGTAGGGGCCAAGTCTCACAGTCTGGGGTCGGTTGGTTAGAAAGTCCTTAATCCAGGCACATGTGAGAGGGGGGAGGCCGAAAGTGACCAGTTTCGTGGTGAGTCTGTCCGGGATTATTGTATTGAAGGCAGAACTGTAATCCACAAAGAGCATCCGGACATAGCTCTGCTGCTGCTCCAGGTGGTTCAGTGCAGAGTGGAGAGCTGCGGCGATGGCGTCCTCTGTGGATCTGTTCACCTGGTATGCGAACTGGTGGGGGTCGAGGTCTGGGGGGAGATAGTCCTTGATGTGCTGAAGAATCAGTCTCTAGAAGAACTTCATGATTACCGGAGTGAGGGCCACTGGGCGGTAATCGTTCTGGCTGGTGTTGGGAGATTTCTTCGGCACCGGGATTATTTTGGAGGTTTTCAGGCAGGACGGGATGACTGCCTGGGCCAGGGAGAGGTTGAAGATCCAAGTGAAGGTGGGGGCGAGTTGGTTGGCACAAGCTCTGAGTACCTTGCCAGGTACTCCGTCTGGGCCAGCGGCTTTCTTGGGGTTCACTGCAAGGAGCACCCGTCTGACATTGTGCTCCTGTACAGTAAGTGGAGTGGTGTTGGAGCTGGGTGGGGGTGGGGGTGAGGGAAGGGCAGGAACAGATGAGTGCTGCTGGGATGATCCGAACCGAGCAAAGAAGCTGTTTAGCTCCTCTGCCAGTGGTGCACTCAGGTCTGCTGTTGGAGCATCACCACCTCTGTAGTTGGTGATGTCATGTATTCCCTGCCACACCTCCCGTGCGTTGTTACTGGACAGATGGGACTCTATCTGCATCCTGTGGTCCGCCTTTGCTCTTTTTACACCTTTTCTCAGGTCAGCTCTGGCAGCGCTGTACAGAGCTCTGTCCCCTGATCTGAAGGCAGCGTCGCGGGCCCTGAGGAGTGAGCGGACCTGGTTGGTCATCCAGGGTTTCTGATTAGGGAAAGCCCGGATGGTTTTGTTCACAGTCACATTCCCGATGCAGAACTGAATATAGACCAGAACCGTTCCTGTGTGTGTCTCCAGCTCATGATACTCGAATAAGTCCCAGTCTGTCTGTAGAAAGCAGTCCTGGAGTTTTGGGACATCATGATAATAGCGGTATTACTGTCTATCCTTTTTCAAACAGGTGATCTTGTTGGCCTTTCTTAAACTTGTTTTTGTGATCACCTTTTTATTCATTTATAAAAAGTAAAAAGGTACAACTCAATGTTACAGCAATGAATACGATATATATTCATATGTACCCATACGTATAAATGTATTTAGAAAAATAAAAAAATTTGAATGATAAATGTATCTATAGAAATAAGTTAAATAATACTTCTAAGCGAGTTCCAAGCCTTTATTGCTAATTCTTTGGCTCCATGTACTCGAGCTGTTGACAGCTCTATATAGACAATGTCCCATTATGTTAAAATCCATGCTCGGATGGAAAGTGAGTGTGGAGGTTTCCAGTGAGTGGCAACTAGTTTTTTTGCAGCTGTGATTCTCGCCAGCAATGCTCTCCTCTCGACCAGTGTCAAACTGAGCCCTGACAAATCATTCAAAATTATTGTGGCGGGCAACCTGATCTTAAACAACTTTGATAGATTCAAGGCAACCATTTCCAAAATTCTGTCACTGGTGTACACTCCCAGAGCATGTGAAAATAACAGTTGATCGCGTTTGAAGAACAAAACATACATGTAGGATCATTTATAACTTCATAGGAATAAAGAATACTCTATGTATATAATTATAGTGTATTTGTTGATGGTCAGGATTTCTGGATGCTAGGCTTACATTAACCCATACTCTATCCCAATCAAATGTAGCTTTCAGATCTGGGTTATCTTTCATTCATGCTTTATCAAATGCCAGAGGTCTGTTAAGAGTGTTACAACACAAACCAATAAAGTCTTGAGACAAAACCACTTGTGCTTCTAGCAGAATCAAACAATTCATGGACTGAGTGTGTTACTAGAGAGCTCTGCAATGAAATACCATTGTTTTCTCAGTAGAACTGGGCGATTCTGCAAAAAAAAAAAAAAAAAAAAAATCACAATATATTTTGTCATATCACCTAATCTCGATTATCAAGTTTTTTTTTTTTGTTTTTTTTTAAGATTAACTGCCAGTTTTAAAGCATCCTTACCAAAAACTAAAGAAACTAGCGATTAGTTCATTATTTTATTAACATACAAAGTAAATAACAGAGCAATTTGAATAAGATAAACTTAAAAAAATCTAAAAACCATTATAACTCAACAGTACAACGAATGTAGATAAATACTAAATAATATAGTGAACTAGTTTACAGTGTTTTTGCAGGTATGAAAGACCCAAAATAAACAAATTGTCCCCTCAGGGATAATTAAGACACCTTAAAATGTAAATATTAGATGATGTACATGTAGGTGATACGATTGATTGCTGCTTTGGTCTAGTGGCTGCACCGCTAGTTGTGGCTTAACTGCTCTTGTTACTTGTGCAGTGTCAGCAGTGGCAAGCTGTACAGTGTCACTCAGGAACTACTTCTTCGAGTGATTAAACAGATCTGTTGCGTTGCTGGTTTTTGAGGGCACTGACCGCCGACATACCTTTGGAGATACCTGAACCAGCGCCACACAACTGACATTGATTAACTTTTCTTCTAAACAATGGTTTCTTCTGAGGATTACTCAAAATAATGGCTGACATCTATTTTGCTGCCTTCAGCTTCATGTTTAGCTGCACGTTGGATCAATCTGTTTACTTCCCCTGTTTACTTCTCCAGCAACTTACAGAAGTAAGCTGACCACCATGATTGAACTGAAATTAATTGCGATCATTAATCACGATCATATAATCGCCCATTCCTATTTCTTAGGTAGATCTTTTATTTTTGTTATTCAATTAAGAGAGGACATTAAGATGGTGTTATCCTTTGATCTTTTCATTGGAGCCATGCCTTTTTTTCTGTCTGTTAAGCTGCTTAAGTTAAGACCAAGTTTCAAACCCATTATGATAACACTTCATATTAAGGTACACATATTCACCATTAACTAGGTCAGCCTTTCTCAAAGTGGGTGCCGTAAAAAAAAATTGACCTATTCTGAGATTTCGTATAGAAATAGATAAATGAATACATAAATACATTCTTTTTACATAAATGCATAAATAAATTCATTTTAGACAAATAAATACATTACATTAATCATCAAATTCTGTCTAATGTGCCCATTATTAATGATGTGTTGCAATGTCAATGGCCCAGCCCACCGAGTCAGCACAAGGTCTGACTGCACAGCACATGGTGTTATCATTTAACCCCGAAAATACATTTGATTTTACGAAGAGCAAAGAACAAGCAACAGCATCATGAATCTTTTTCTAAAAAAGAAAAGCCCCACAAGAAGCGAACACCACCGATTGTGGTGGCTCCCGGGCCTCTTTTAAGTAGCTAATTTTAAGTACTGTGGACTGTTCTTATTTTAAATATGTGAACTGAATTTTAGATACAAATGCAGAAAGTATTACAGAGCATTAGGGCCACATTAAGAAAAAAAATAAGACCTTGAAATTACTTACGAGAATAGTCATAATAAAAT